AATAACTTATGTGGTTTATAATCTAAATACGCTTTTTATTTTATTAATTAAATTATAAAAAATAATAAATTTTTATCTATTAAAACTTCAATGATAACAGATAAATTCTAAATAATGTATATAGAGAGTTTAAATAAATTGATTTAACAATATCTGTTAAATGTAAAAAAAGTTATTTTCATTGGAAATTTTTATTTAAAATCTATTTTAGTTAATTTGTTTTTTGGTATTTTTTGTAAAAAAATTATGTTTTTAATAACGTTTTTTTTAATAATAATTATTTGCTTTATCTTCTTCTCTTTAATTAAAATGAAACTAATTGCAAAGTGCCTTAAGAGATTATTGTATTTTTCATTCAAACTTTTTTAAATAAAGTTGTTATAATAAAGTAGATTCTAAATTATACGACTGAGTTGATAAATAATGATAGTTGGTTCAAAACAAAAAATAAGTATTGTATTTTTTATTAATGGTTATTCTCATACTCATAGGACAGAAAACAACTATTTTCACAAAACAATATTTGAGAAAAATGGGCAATAAAACAAAGATATTCATTATAATCTTTAGTAATTAAAAGGTAGTATAACAATAATATTTGATGATTAAATATGACTCTATAAAACATTTTTTTTCTTAAAGTATTTTTATTATTATTATAGTAAGAGTCAATATTATCACTCATTCTTTATAGTAAAAACTGAAACAAAATTTAATAATTAATGATATAAAATTATTAAGAATATCATTGTGTATTTGAAAAAAAAATTGTTATTGATAAATTCTTCTTGTTTTTATTCATTCATCATTTAAATCTTATATCTTTTTAGAAATAGAATAAAAATCTTTTTAATGATGAAGTATAGTTATAAATAGAAACAGTAAGAAGTTGAGTTGAGTGGTTCTGGTAATTGAAGGAAGTTAGTTGGTTATTTGTTCTAACAATTTGTAATGAAATACATTTCTTTTTCTTGAGAGAATAATTGAAAGAAAAACAAAACAAAACATGTTCAACTTTGTAACAAATAAAAATATTGAATCAGGAATTTCATATTATGAAAAAAAAATTAAAGAGAGACAATCTGATAAATACTTTTATTAGAGTCCAAAGAAAATATCTTTCAAACTCATTGGTTTCCAAAACTAAAAAACAGCAACAAGTATCAACAAATATTTACTATTCAAAACAGCAAAGAAGAAAGTACAGTTTCATTACGAGGCAAATAACATTCCTTTTTATCATTCGCACAACTAAATAAATAAGAGCATATATTAGACCCTTTAGAAATAATTTCTTCTTTGGTTAGAGTAAAAGAATCAGTAACAACAGAAGTCACTATATCACAACGCTTTAAATCTTTTTTCATTCCACTTCGTTGAACTTCTATTTTGATTCCATTTAATTCACAAATATCAATAAGTAAATGTAAAGATTCTCTAATTTTATGACCTTCTGTTCTTTTCAAAGCAGTTTTAAAACTGCACCCTTGTTTCAATTCATCTTTGTTAATTAATTCGATTCTATCTCTAATGAGTTTTTCAACTTCGATAACATCATTATTATCTGAAATATATAGAATTTTAAGGAAATGAGAAGATTTAGGTGTTCTTATAGAACCAAATTGTACAGTGATATTGTAATATAAATTTAAAACACCAATTAGAATTGCTTGTTCACAACATTGATATTTTCTAATATCTCTATAACTGTAACTTTCAACAACAGAACTATATCCTTTTCCTCTTTTAGGGGCATTTACTTGTTTTTGTTGAGTGATATGTAGCAGAGGTCTGTCTAAATGAATGTTCATTTGAATGTACTTATTGAGTTTTGATAACCTAAATTGTTTTATTTAGAAATTAAAATTCGTTTGAGAAACGAACTAATCTACTTCAAACCTTCTTCTATTAAGTATTTGAGGGAAAATAAGAATTATTTTAAAAAAATAATATTAAATATTAAGAATTTTATAATAAAAGGTATTTGTAATTTCCTGACAATATTCTAAATATGATACATTATCTTATTATTTATCTTTTTGATGACCTAATAAATATATGACATTTGTCTCATCAAAGTTTTGTTTTGACAAAGTTTTATTATAGACTATGTTATTGATAATAGTATTAAAAAAATTTGACTATAAAGTTTTATCTTATAATCGTTTTTAAATAGAAATATTTTTAGAGTTATTTAATTTTATTATTACTTTTACATCAATTTGAGAGTATATAGATGAATAATTACCCTTATTCTCTATCATTTAATATTTTGGTTCTTTGCTTATTTTATTTAATTATATGTTTTTTCTTTATAGCATCATTTCATTCAATTTAGACATGCTTCGTTTTTAATTATTCTAAAATTTTTCTTTCTTAATCTTGATGATAACATTTTATCTTTAGAATTAATCTAATTATTATTATTTTCATATTATTTTTCACTCCTTTTATTCTCATATTGGTCTTCATTTTTATTATTTTATCTCTTTTTATTGAGATATTTCAGTCATTGTTTTTCATAGTCATTTCATAGAAATTACATCTTGTTAATAAAATATAAATTCTAAGTAGATAAGTTTTGACATATTAACTAATATCCTTACTTCCTTATTAGTATTCCATCTTATGTAAATAACATTTATTGCCAACAACCAATAACTATTTATTCTATCTTATTTTTGTTTATTTTCATTCAATAAAATAATATTTTTAAGTCAAAGTTAAGAAAAATTAAATGATTTTCATAGTACAACAGATAAATGAATAACAAATAAATAAAAAAGAAGGATATGGAAATACTTCGGTGTATTTTATTTAATGAAGGTAATATTTTGTATAGAGAAATGAATGATATTAAAAGCATTGAAGATATGACAACCTAATTTAGAATTGTTATAAAATCTTTGAAAATTATATTGTTTTCATCAATCAAAAGAATTAATACATTTTGTTCACTAATCAGTGAATAACATTTAACTATAATTTGCTTAGTATTTATAATTTAATATTAATGAAAGTTTAGAACATAAAAATTATAACATCAATTATTCTTAGTATTAATATTAAAAAATATGGTATAAAAAACTCAATTTAATAAGTGATAAGTAAAATCCAAGAAGAAAAAGAAGTAATAGGAAGAAAAAACCAAATAATATCACCAGTTACAAAAACTTTAACTAAAATTGAATTATTAAATCAAATAAAAAAAACTAATAATGAATTATGAACCAAAAATAATAATGCTTGTTTTATTATTCATTTGGATGGCAAAACACTATACCTCCAATTATTTTTTCTTAAACAATCACTAATCCAATTTGGGTATTTGTTGTTGAAAAATATAAAAACTCCTACAAGTACCATGAATGTGACAATAATACCAACACATGCTACTAATATGAGTTTCCAATCATGACCTTTCTTGTCATTTTCTTGGACAAGGCAAACTCCATCTTGAGAATAGTTGGTCTTATTTTGGTTATCATTGTAACAATACATACAATGATTATAACCATCACATTGAATACAATCTCTTTGGCAAGATGTGCAGACTCCATTATGATTTTCATAGGCGTCTGACTCACATTCTACACAATAAGTTCTGTCTATGGTACATTTACTACAAAACTTGTCCATACACGTAAAACACTTGGAGTCTTTTCCAATAAATCCATTGTAGCAAGAGCTACAAAATGATGCTGAACCTTCACATGTTTTACATGAAGAATGGCATTGAGAACATAAATAATTATCAGTTAAGAAATACCCTGGAGAACATTGAAAACATTGGTCATGACTTTTATGAATTAAACAATGAGCAACTCCCTTAATACAAGTGTCAGTAGTTAAATAAAATCCTTCATTACACTCATCACATTTCAACCCATGCTCTTTTTTACAGTGCTCTATTTTTTTACGGCACGTATTATTATAAATATAATAACCATCTTTACATTTTTCACATGCATCAGACGAAGAACATTTTATGCAGTTCTTCAAAAAACAACGCGAGCACATTTTTCCATCATGAAAATAACCATCATTACATTGGTTACAATGGTTAGAGTTACAATGTGCACAGTGTAATGGACAGGAAAAACATTTTGACTGTTCAAGATAATACCCTTTTTCACATTCTAAGCATTTAACAAAATCAATATCATATTTTTTACAATTTTCTATGGGTATAAAATTTTGACAACTGTTATTAAATAATTGCTTAGTCCCTCCATTACAAAGTAAACAATCATCGTATAGGCTACAGTCTTGACAGTCTTTAACTGCACAAAACTCACACATCCCATTCTTAACCCCATAGCCAAAGGAGCATGTATCACAATTCCCGAAGCTATTGTACCTTTCACAATTTTTAATATCACCTTTAGTGCAAGTTTCATTAACAAGGTAATACTTATCTGCACAAACTAAACATTTATTGTTCATACATTCAATACAGTTTGGTGGACAACTCTGGCAAAGTCCTTTATTGTTAATGAAATACCCAATAATACATTGGGTGCATGTACCAGCTTGGTCATATTCAACACAATTAGGAATATTTATTTCAATACAACTTCCATTGTTGAGAACAAACCCATAATTACATGAAACGCATTCGCCAGAATAAATCTGGCAATTTGGCATTATGTATTTAAAATATACACATTTCCCCTCAATATTAATGAAATTCTCTTTACAGGATATACACCTTCCATTATTGCAGTCATTACAATATGCTCCGCAATCATTTGTAGCGATTACTGAAATGAGTACATTAATAAAAAGAGTGATTATCATATTTTTTTAAGATTTTTTTTCTTCGAATAAATTTTTTAAAATAAGTAAAAGCTTTCCTTTTAATAACTACTAAATAATGTTGTTATGTTTATAAAGAACTTTAACCCAAACATTTTTCTTTCTTTTTTTTAAATTTTTCTTATTTTCTGTTATTTATATTAAAAAGTAAAATTAATTTTCTACTCAAGAAATTCTAGCAATATTCCATAAGAAGAACATTACAAGTCTTGGAAATTAACTTTATAATACAATTAGAAATATTTGAAGAAATGTAAGTACTTAGCTACTAGTACAAAGAAAATCTAATAGGAATATATATAATAATGCGACATTTTAAAGTCATCTCATGTTTTGTTTTTTAAATTAATATACTTTCTTTATATTGTAAGAAGGTTTTTTATTTCTTTTCTCTATTATCAAAAGAGTAGTAAATTTCATCTTTCTGTATAACTGTCTCTTTCTTCTTATTTTAAAGCGAATATACACCAAACATTCAACGTATATATCTGATTTTTACTAGTTCTATTTTTTTATATTACTAACTTTTAAGTATTTCTCCACATAAATTAAAGTAAATGATTTTATTATTTTATCCTTAAAAATAGTTTTTATTCTCTTATGACTATCTTTTCTAATTTTTCTCATCAGTTTTGAATATAAACATTTAGTATTTATAAATTGCTTTGGCGTATTGTTTTTTTTACACTAAAAAACACTCGGAAATAAGATATTTTAAAGTTAGTCATATTATTTTAATTCATTTGAACAATAAAATTTAAAGCAAACAATATAAAAACTGTATTATATTATAAATACAAAGACATATTAAACATTATAAAACAATGGTTTTTCGAAATAAGTAAGTCAAATAAGCTAAATTTATTAAAATTTATCAAAAAAGTATGAAATATAAAACATAATAATATATAATAAACCAAATAATAAATTAAAGTATATAAAATACAAAGAGTCATTATCAATAAATACTATAACAACATAAGAAGAATGAGTATTTTAGTAACTATGTCTATTTATAATAAAAACTTATTACATGAGTTTTATTCAATATTTTTTATTATATTTTATGTTCGTATAAAATTTAATATAAACCATAATAACATCTCAGTCTCATTGAAAATATTATCCCAAGTTTAGCTATAAAATTAAGAAAAGTGTTGAGATTAAAAGATAATAATTAGTTTTAATAAAAATAACTAACTAACTCCTTTTATATGAAAAAAAAACATTCAAAATGACTTTTTTAAATATTTTTTATCCTTTGTATTATGAAAAATATTTTTTATTGAAACACAACAAAACATCACTTCAGTTTGAGTAGAGTGAATGACTTTCATGATATATTTTCGTAATTAATTTCCATAACACGTTCAACAACCCTGTGAGAGACAAAAACTTTTTACTTTAAAAACATTTTCTGAATTATTAAACAATTCAACTAACAAACTTTTTAACATAACATTTATCCAAAATTAAAATTCATTTAACCTTATTTATTAAATAAATAAGACAAAATATTAAACCATTTATTCTAATGCATAAATAATAGAGTAGTATTATTGACATTATTTATGCAAGTAAAGCTTTCTTCAAAAGATAATACAAATTAAGTAATAACTAAAAAATACTTATAAAAATTGATTTAACATAAATATGAAATATTTATCATGGGGGTAAATGAAATAATATTTTTATAAAAATAGATGAATAATCCATCAATATTAAGAAAAATGCATTTC